AGCATTTCCACACAGCTTAGAAACTGCAGTTGAATTATGGAAAGTGAAGCTGTAAGACAGGCTTACGTAGGTCATTAGCTATCAGGGTTGCCAGACTTCCCTAGTCTGGAAGAGATAGTATCTTGGCGTGAACCACAGTTATTGTCTCTCTGGGCAGAGAGACCTCAGGAGGTTAGGTTGGCTGAAGCTGCAAGGAACTTTCCTTTCCATTTCTTTTCAGGAGCTAGTGGATGGAAAGTGTAAGCAGCAGGGTGAAGGATTCCAGGATGATGCTGACCCTGAGCCAGGGGTTGAAGAGTGGGGAGTAGAGCTGGGGAAAGGACAGTGATGTCTGTGCAGGAGACAGGTGGGGGGGCTGGGTGAACAAGGCTGTTAGAAAATGAATCAGAGTTGAGAGTGACCCAGAATCAGGAGGACTGCTGGGAGCTGCAGGATTCAAGAACACAAGTCCATGATCTTATGCCTGGAAGGTCAGTGCTCAAATCTGTAGAAGCATTGAAGTCAGGTCTGTGAGCTGGGACTCAATTTGAGTATGAATGTCCTCCTGACACACAGATAAAGGTTTCCTTCTGAAGTAATGTAACAACCCAAACAATCTTTCTACTTTGCTTTTGTAAGTTAAGGTTTTTTCTCGTGTATAAATACAAGCAGTGTCTGAGCAGGCAACAGGAAGACTAAAGCTTGGTGTCTTCAAGTCCTGTACTGGCATTCACAGGTCAGGCTTGTAATTCAGATCCCATCCAACTTGTAATGGATCCTGATTATCATGATACTAGTTACAGCTCTTGTGCCAGGCTGGGTTCAACAGCATCATCTGTGCCTGCTGCTGGGTGTGTGCTGAAGCATCTTGTTCTGTCAGGGCCTTTATATCTTTCTATATTTTTAAGTCAAGGATCTTACTACCAGCTTCCACTTTTGCATACATGCATGGTATAAATTTGGTGTTGCAGTACAATGGATGCCACCTAGGAGCAAATGTAATTGCAGTGAAATCATAGCACTGCCCAGGCTTAACAGAAAAAAAAAACTTTTCTGGTTCTTGAGGGCTGCTGAGAATCCAGCTCCAAGTAGTGGAAGAGGATTAATCCATCCATTTTGCATCAGTTCCAACTGGAAGCACATCGAGGGAGGCTTTGCTGCTGGAGGATATGGTGGAGGTAGATACCAAAGTGGTAATTAGAGTCTCTATCACCCCTACTGCTTTGGTTTGAAAATGTTCTCTTTGCCAAGGGCAGATTCTTTAAATTTATGCTCTGTAGAGTCAGTGTGTTCTGTGCTGGTGTTAATGCTGACATTAGGCTTGGAGATCTCCTTCACTGCTCAGCAGCAGGTGTTCTGCCACCTTTCTGATGCAACCATTAAATTAGCAGCTTCCTTTAGGTGTGCTGGAAGTTAACAGGATGTCAATACATGAAACATGTTTTCATAATGTCAGCTTCTGTTATCTCTCTTAGCCACATTGCCAAAAAACAAAGGTGTTCCTGCTCACAGAGGATCCCATCCCCAAACTAGTATAATTGGTCATCACTCTTCTACTGGTTCCTGTGGTTTTGGGGTCAGCCCTTGAGCATGGAACAGTTTGACACTTTCAGGCAATCTAGAAATCATATTTGGAAAGGTTCTGTGTAAAGTTAAGGTGTTTTTGCTGGTGTTTATAGTTATTGAGCAGATTAATAAGGTAAATATTAAAAAGGATCATCTGGAACAGGATAAGCACTCTGGCTTTTGCCAACAAACCACTTAAGCACATGCTTAGAGATAAGTACACATTAAGGTAAATGGAGTTGCTCATAAGCTTGGTGTTGAGCATATGTTTAGGGTTTCTGGATTTAGAGAAACTCATTGCTTGAAATAACCATTTTATCCTTAATGACTGGAAATTAGGTTCTAGTATGAGAATTTTCATGGAATGAAAAACTACTAAAAGGTAAAACAGGATGAAAAAGCAAATTATCTGATTTGACTGTCATAAAATGGAAAGGACATAGTTACAAGAAACATTTCAAAATTTCTTTCCCATCCTCCAACCTGCTTTTAAAGCTTCTTCAGGCTCCAGATTACCTGGCAGGGTTGGGTCAGTGCCTTGGGAGCAGATTGCCATGTGTGGTGTCTGTTATACTGCTGGTGAATGCCATGCTTGGGTCTGGCCAGTGGAGAACCAACCAGCAACCCACATTGGAGCACACCTGACTTTCTTTCTCCTGCCAGGAATCCTACAGGAGTGTAGCTGATATGAAGAGATCTTTTGGTTTAGCATCTATGCCTTTGTACCCAAGAGGAAGATAAATATAATGGTAAGAAGCACCCTGAATCCTGCTTTTGCCATGGAAAAATTTGCTGCTATGTTGAAGTCTGTCAACATCAAAACAGAGGGAAGATTTTTCTGGAGAAGTCCAGCACAAACAGAATTCCCAATACAGGAGGCTATATAGCCCTGGCCTTTGTTTGGCAAGTGTTGGACTTCTTCATGGGATGGAGTGTCACTGCTGGGGGAAATGGGTGATGTGTGCTGGCATTTCCTCATCCAGCAAAACTGGCCTAAAGAGAGGGAAAATAAATTATCACATCTTGGATGTGAATTTTTCTTAACATTAAAAATGAATAAGCTGTGCTGTAGAGAGGAAGGCAGAGGAGGAAAGGGAAGCTGGGCAAGGGCTGACACGGGCAGGTGAAGAAGCACTCCCATGAGTAGCCATCTGCAGCAACAGGCTTTTAACCAGCTCATTAAAAGCTTGACTTGCACTGTGCCTGCTGAAGAAGAGCCTCCTACCTACCCAGGGTGATGGAGAAGGGACCTGCCCCCATGTGCAAACAAGGATTTATATGGCTAGAGCCAAAATATTTGGCAGGGGAGTGAAATGTAAGGTTACCTGTAGGCAGCTGTTGCTCACCCTGTGGGTGTTTGATAGGGCTGTTTAATTGCATGTTGCTCAGTGCTGAATGAGTCCAACTTCAGTGAATAACCACTGCAATGCAAGTGCTGCTGCCTCTGAGATAAAGGACATTATGTGAGAAACAAAGGCTTAACTAATAGTACCACAGGCCTCCTGCACTTCTGAAAGTGTACTTTATCTCTGATTAGAAGAGAAGAAAAGGTCTAGTTCTTACAAATAAATCCAAAAGCATTTTAAGGACTTCCCCCCTCTTTTCTATTCTTTTCCCAGGTTGCAAAAATAACATTCAATAATGAAATGAAAACAAGCTGAATGGTTACATTCAGTGGAGGAGGGAAGAGGTGGTTGCAGACAGCTGGAGCATGTCTGGGCCAGTGTCTCAGTTCTTTTCTTTCTGCTAGTTCAGTGCCACTCCAAGAATGCAGACAATGCTGGCTACAACTGTTTCATATTTGATTTCCACACTTAAATCTGTGCTTGTTAAATGAAACCCCATGGTCAGGTTGGCATGGATCCACCCTGCCTCCTCAGGTCCCACTTCAGAGCTTGCTTTCTGCATTTGGGTGTCCTGCTTGCAGCCCTTGGGTGAGGAGCAGCTTTGCCAAGAGCATTTTGCTGGTTTATTGCCACTTGTGGTGCTGCAACAAAAAGCTTTTGGACTTTTTCTTGCAGCTGCATCCATGGATAACCCTCATAAATCTTGTTCTGAAGGCAGCCAGAAGTGCTGCAGGGAAGGGATGGGGGTTTGGAGCAGCCTCAAGAGCAGTGGATCAATTGGGCACTTGGTTGGAGCTGTTTTCTGGGCAAGGTACTGGCTGTGCTGCCTGTGGGAGAAAATGCTTGGGCAAGCAGGGCCCAATTCTGCCAAGGGCTGGTATCCTACCCTGCTGGAGGAGAGGACACCTCTGGAGATGCCTCCAGTCTGGGTGGTGCTCATTGCATGCTTTGCTGGGTTGGGACCAGAAGGTTTAGCACTTGCAGGGCTTTGCTGAAGGGGGGAGAGGGAGATGCTGTGTGTTGGGAGCCAAGCTGTGCCTGTGAATAACAAAGAGTCACTTCATGTTCCCTAAAATACCAGAGAGGGTGTGGAAATTATTAATCTTACTAATAAAGCTGAGAGGATTAAAAAATCCAACAGCTGTCCAGTCCTCTGGACTGCAGACTCTTGGTCCTTCTGCTGTCCCAGAAACTGATCTCATGGTCTGATACCTGCTTGCATGTCACTGGTGCAGTGTGACTTGCCCTCCCCTAAATGATGGCAGTACCAAAGCAGGCAGAGCTCTGCCCAAATAGCTTGCTATCTACTTCAAGAGATAAGGGAGAGGTGGTGGGATGGGGCTGTGGGATGATGGGAAGTGACACTGGATCAAGAGGAAGCCCTGGCCATGTTTTGATTCTTTAGATGTCCCTGAGGAGGCTGGTTCTGGGGCTGTTGTCATGGAAACACCATTACTTTCATGCATTCAAGGCTAGCTCCAAACAAAGGTTAAAGGGGAAAAACCAAACCCCAAGGATCAGATGCAGAGCAGGTGAGATTTTGCCCAGTATGGGAAAACCTGGGAATGTCTGCACCAGGGTATGTGGGCTTGGAGGTATGTCAGGGCTGGAAATCAATGTTGTGCCTCATGCAGGAGCTGGTCAGGAGCTTGGTGCTCAGGTTCTGTTCCAGGTCTCCCAAAGGCCTGTTCCTCCTCCTCATACTGGTTCTGTCCTCACTTTTTATCCTCTGATGCCATAGAGGTGTTGCTGCCTGAGGCTCCACCCGGAGCAGAGATGGTGTGCTGGGGGCTGGCGGTTGTTTCTGATGCCTCCTTTGCTGGCAAGGTGACAGCTCAGTGTCTGCAGAGGTGAAGGTCTCTGTGCCTTGATGCCAGCGCAGCACTTGCAGTCGTAAGGAAGAGCAGAAAGGCAGATCTGCAGGTTCTGCTTCTGTCATGTCAAAAGAAAACTATATAACTTCCATAAAACTTTGCCCAGCCTTTATATTCAGAGGCTCAGGCTGGATATGCTAAAGATGTGTCCTGTTGCACCCCTCATGCCCCAGTGCCACTTCAACCAAAGTGCCAGGCAGCAACCCACCCTCCCAGCCATGACCAATGTTCATGCTTAACTGTCCCAACTGAAGCAGCAGAAGTTATCACAAGAACCCAAAGATGCACAGACTGTGGCCAAACGCAAGCTCAGGTCTAGTATTTGCAGGGTGAGGTGGTACCATTTAGAGTGTGATGGGTCTTTGCAGAGGTTTTGGGAAGTCAGTAGAGGGAATGGGGAATGGAATTGAGTAACCCAGCTCCTTGATCCCAGTGATCCCAGCAAGTGTGGGCTGAGGAGAAGCAATGGCAGCAGTAAATGGCACTGAGGCACCCAGGATGCTCGGAGTGCTGAAGGCAAGATGAGCCTCCCACTGAAGTGGAGACAAAAGCATTTTATCACTTTTCTGACCTGCTGAGAGAATTTTATAAAAGCTTTAAAGAGCTCACAATTTTTTTTTTTTGCATTTCTTCATTTCCAGCTTGGGGAAAAAAAAACACACAACCCTGTTTTTTATATTTAATCTCCTTTATTCTGTGTCCAAAAATGGATGTGATGGCAAGGAAAATTAGTAGCTTGGATGTCATGAACTTATTAAAGAAAAATGTGGACTTTTTTTAAATGAGGAAAACAAAGTTGTTTCAACAATATTTTTAGTAAAAATACTAGAAGAATAAATTGGAACAGGTAAATTTAGGCAGTTTGTATAGCAAGTACAGTTGGGTGGCCTTTAAATTTTAAAACTGCATACTTGAAGACTAATGAAGTTTCTCATTATAAAACAAAACGTGATAAGAACAGGCAGGACTACTGTGCTGGTGGGATATTTGCTGTGCACCCTCTGCAAGCCCTGCACTGCACAGCTGATCCATGGTATTAACAGGAGAAGTGCTTTTCCTTTCAAATGCATTGTCCAGATTAACTCTGCTGGTCCCACCTCCTGCCTGTGACACTGTAGAGACTCCTGGGACTGTCACCCCAGCTGATGGCACCTTGCACTGAGGCAGCAGCTCCATGCAGGGGGATGCTGAGGTGGCTGAGCTCAGCTGTGGGGTCGGTGGGTGGGATGAAGCAGAGGGGCAGGAGCAGGCTCAAGGCTGGGTGCCAGCTGCTCAGCCCTCTGCTCTCCTGCCTCCTTGTCCCAGCATGTCCCTGCCCCAAAGGGATTTGCTGTAGAGCCAGCTCCATCCTTTGTGCCTGCTGAGAGGCTTTTCCACGCTGGGGGAAGCCTTAGAAGAGCTTTTAGGAATAATTTATACTTCCTTTGATCCAGGAACTGTGCAGGTAAAGAACTAATGCTGTTAGAGCAAGCAATAACCAGCTGCTGTGCACCAGCCTCTGGGGAGGGGAAAGGGCTCCTCTCTCCCAGACTAGAACAACCACTCTTTTCTCCCTGGTCCAGTGCACAGAGTGGTTTTTAAAGGGTCAGAGCAGAGGCAGAAGCAGGGCCCTGTGCTATCAAGGCCAGTCATGAATGTCCCAGAGGAAGAGCTAATATTCACTTTCTGTGTGGACTGTTGCATCTTTTTTTCTGCCCAGTGTGGCTGCAGGCAGATCATGTTTATAGCTTCATTGGGCTTTTGGCAAGAAGATTTAGACTAGATATTAGAATTTACTTACCAAAAAAGTGGTTGGACATTGGAAAAGGCTGCCCAGGCAGGTGGTGGAGTCACCATCCCTGGAAGTGTTTAAAAGGAATATAGATGTAGTGCTTAGGGACATGATTTGAGCACTGAATGGGTAGATAAGGTCACAGTTAGTCGATTTAGGTTATGGTTGGATTTGATCTGCAAGGTCCTTTCCAATCAGGATGTTTCTGTGAATGTTTTGTGTACCTGCTGTGTTTGCTGTCGTGCTCCTGAGTGACACTTGGGGCACTTGGAAGCACATGGCCATCACTAACAGGGACACTATTCCAACTACTGCACTGGCACAGCCACCATTACATAATTACTTCAGTCAGGGCTCTCACATGGATGAACATGGAACAAGGAAGAAGCCCATGAGGCCATGGATGGAGTGCCTGAAGGACACCCCAAGCAGTGCAGCATGGAGAGGAAGGTGAGTTTAATGTCTGCTTCTTGCTGCTTTTGTCACTCTGGACAAGGAATGAGTTTGTGTTTGGTTGCTCATCCAAAACACTGTCACAGGCATGAGCTCTTCCATGGCTCCTCATCAGGGCAGGGTACATTCTGTCACTGCCCTTAATTCAGAACCAGTTGTGACTGGGTAGGGGCTGTGTTGATGATGGGGAGTTGACATACACAGGCATATTTTCAGTCATCTCAAAGCACCAGCAGTGACTCCTGCTTGCAGTGAGTTATCTGTTTTCCAGTGTAAGCATCTTGGACCCACATGTATGTTTGCTCCTGTCTTCAGGCTGTTGAATGGAAAGAAGAGCTGAAGATGTGCTACAGGCAAGAATCTGCCTCCCAGAACACAGAGAACAGCACAATCTGGGCTGTAACTTCTGATGCGATGCAGGAGGCTGTATCCATGCAGATCCAGAACCTTGAGCAATCTTGTCCTGTGGTTTGATTTCCATCCTGGCATGCTAAGTGCAGCAAGGCTCAGCTTTTTCATGGCACTTTCCATTTTTTGATTTGGAGAATTTGAAAAATACTTGTCTGGAGGCTGAGCCTGAAGTTATAATCTTGGCATATCCATACCACAAAATTCCCGTGGATAAAAGCAGAAACATCTGGATTCATGAGTGGATGTTGGCTAAATCCACCAGGAAAAAAAAGCCTTCAAGGGATCCTAGAGGGTTGTAGCCAGAATAAATAATACAACAAAATAAGACTGCTATTAAGAGTAATTGTAATACTGAAGCTGGATTATAAGACAAGGGCCAAGCCCTTTTCACAATCTGCTTTTCCAGCTAAGAGCCCTTCAATTTACACTTAACACACATGTGGCTGATGGAACAAAGCAAAAATTGCAGAAGGATGAAAGCATCAGGGAGATTATTCAGCCTTGCTGGTTTAGCTCCAGGCACATCGTTCAAATGAGTAGATGATCAGTTTCCAGTTTGTTTTAAGTTCTCTGGCAGGAAATTTTATGCTCTATTCTGAAGTCGAATGTGTGTAAAACCATTTTTTGAGTTTTTACTTAAGGCTTGGCCATTTTGGTTTACTTCTTAAGGTAAGACTCAAAGTGCTCTGCAGGAGTCACCTGAGTGCTGGGTCCTGAGGGGCTGTGTCCTGGCTGCATCACTGATGGGGCCAGGTCCCACCTCCCAGCCTACTGGGGATCCTGGGACCAGGGAACAGTTGCTCTTTTTCTCCCTCACTCCTGGGAGCCTGAGCCAGATGCCATATCTAAGCTCAGCAGCACCTGAACTTGAGGCAAGTTGCCAAAACCAATGTCTTGCATCCTCTTTGGTTGCACCCTGTTGTACCAGCACCTCTTGCCTGGTTTAAAGCGAGTGGAAGGAGAAAGGTTTGTGCTCCTTTCCCCCTGCATCTCCTCTTGGTGTTGTCAGAGGTAAGAGCTGCTGAACAGCACATCCTTTGTCACCCAGCCCCTCACGCATGGGTCTCCTCCACCCTGCTGTGAGCACCAGGTCATGCAAATTGTCTTCTCCTGCTGTGATGGGGTGAAGTACACCCCCAGCCAGATGATTAAGAAGTTGTATTTTGCTTAAAATGCCCTTAGTAGCCCAGGTGATTAAGAAGTAAGTTGTATTTTGCTTAAAATGCCCTTAGTAGATACAGCCAGCATTTCTCATTACCTGTACCTTGTCCATGAAGATCTGAATTACTGACCCTCGCTGACCTTGCACGTTGCCATTCCCAGTTCCTGGAAAGCCTTGGGCATTTGCCTGCTCCAGAACCTTCAGCCAATGCGAGTTGGGGTGAGTTGCTTCCTTGTGGAATAAGAACCCTATTGCCAGTTCTAGTCCTGTCCTCCTTGTTGCTCTCATCTCCTCTGTTGTCCATATGACAGCTGACTGGTTGCACAGTTCCTGAAGGTCTCTTGGTGCTACTTGAGTAGGTCCTTCATGAAGAGACTTTAGATTTTCCTCCATGGAAGCTCTTCTTGTGATGCACTGCCAGTGCTTAATGCTCTCTGAAGCCTACTGCTAGGCTCTGACTGGTGGGTTATGCTTGGGGTGGGGCAAATACTTGAAGTATGACTGGAAATACCAGTGGTGATGGTTACACTGCCTTACATTCCATAGAAGGAATAATCCTGTTTTCCCTGTAAGGAGTGGGACTCCAATTGGTCTTAAAACAGCCTCCATGCAACTAGGAAACCCGTAAAAAGGATGCTCCTTTATTTTCAGCAGATCTTGTTATTTAATTTGCTGCCAACATCTGTCACTTCCTCCACTGTGCACTGCCCAGCACCCACAGCCTGGCTCTGAACCAAAAGCTCACACGACCTAATGGAAAAAAACCTCAGAGCACCACTTTCTGTGAACGTGGCACAGCATCTCCACCAGCAAAGGGGAACCAGGAAATGCATCTGCTCGTGGATGTTACAAAATATTTGTTTTAGATTAGCTGCTGTCCCTGCCACTGTCCATGTTTGCTGTTGTGTCCTCCCACCCCACTGGAAGGCAATTGGAAGGTCTGCTGAAGCTGTAGGGCTCTCGCTTAGGAGCAAATAGCTTGAGAAGCTGAAGAGTGAGAGATGAAGCAGAGCTAAGTTTAGGATCTCAGATAAGAGAATATCTGTCTCTTCAGTGCTCTGTGGTTTTGCTTTGCTCTACACAAAGCACTCCTGGGGTTTGCTTGGCTGTTTGCAGATTGTCCTGACTCAAGGAAGGTTTGTGGGGGGAAAAAAAAAAAAGGCTTTGATGTGTTCAGTAAACAAATAGCTGTGTTAAAAGAGCTTCAGTTCTTGTTAGCATGCTGCAAACAGCTATGTTTGAAGGGAAATAAACATCCCAAGGTTGATGGAAGGGTAGGAAAGCCATAAAGTCCTGCAGTCAAATCCACGGGTTGAGAAAATCAGGAATGATGGTGCTGTGAACAATGTTTTCTCCTTTTGGATGAAAAAGAAAAGAACAAAGTGGTTTGTGGTTTACCAGCCATGCAGTGGGAATATACTGATATAAAACTAAAAGGCTACATCAATACCATCCAAATCACCAGAATTCTACCATGTCATCTGGAGATCTTTCTCTCCAACTCTTGGGGTGAGGTGGAGAAGACTCTCTTTTCCTCCAGCCCCACTTTTGACTCAACTTCACCTGCTGCCACAGGGCCACCAGCACCTCTTAACCCTTGCAGCTACAGGGTCTCATCCCAATATAACCTCAGTAGTTTTTACACTGTGCAACCAGCCAGTTTCCATGAGGAGGCACCAGGCAAGCATTATGCTCTCAGTGAAGAGGGTAAAGATTTCATGGCCACCTGCCTACCTGAGCTTTTACCTGAGCTTGTGTTTGTCTCATTGCATCACTTACAACATCCCTTTGGAAATGCAAAAGCTTTGCAAATTACGCAAAGAAAAGAGCTAACCAATTATCTCAATTACACCAGAATAACCCTGGGGGTGGTAAATTACATTTATACCCTCTTAGCAATCCAAGTTTGGTTCAGAATGAGGAAGTTTGGGGTTTCTCTGTAAAGGGATGTTAAAAACCAGCAGATCATGGTAATCAATACATCAATATTTACTGCAAATTGGAAACTTATCATGTGCCTCCAGAGCATCTCTCACTTTAGTTTCATGTAATTCCAAGTATTTCTCTGTTTCAAGAGGTTTCACAAGAGCTAGACAATTAACAGTTCAGACATAACTGACTTTAAGTCTCTGTAGCATCACTAACATCTTTCCTTTGATAACACTTCTGCCCATCAAAGCTCTGCTCCAAATGGGACTGGTGAGGTAAATGCTTCATCCAATGAACCAGGGCTTAGGAGAAAAACAGTGGGAAAAAAGCAAAAGTTCTGGGCAAAAAGAAAGGTTATAATCCCAAAGGTAATGTCTCCCTCTGCTAACTTCATACCAGATTTTTACTTTCATTGTGAGCCTCTCCCTGCTGAATTCACAGGGAGGGTTTGTAGCTAAAGCCAAAGCAGATGGTTCATAATAAACAGAAGTTCCTTAGAGACTGTAGCCATGGCATGTGAGAGCTGTTTACCTGGCACGATGAAGCACTGTTCTGTTTAGAGGCTCGTACAGAAACAGAAGGTATTACAGTGCAGTAAATAAGGCCCCTTCACCCCTAGGAATATATGGTTGGGGTTTTTTTCCAGACTGGTTGCTCTTTGCTTTCAGCTGCAGAAAGCCCATCCTGTGATTTCTGAATTGCTCCTTCATCTGTCTTCCCAAGAGGTCTTTACTTGCCCAGTGCAGGGAGAGACAGAAACTTGCTGACATCAGCTGGGGTTGTTGGTTCTAGCACTGACTTTCCCATCACAGCCACCATGAAATCAGCTCCCTGGGTGCCTGAGGTGACTGCAGGACAGGGATGCATCCTCTGGAGCCCGACCACTTTCTCAGGGAGAGCCAGTGGTGCTGTAATGTGTTTGTAGCAGGGAAATGTAGAGGGAATAGGCTCTAGCCTGTGACTTGGAAGCTGGTGTATGGCACAGCTAATGCTGTTGGTGTCTCTGCTCTGGGTAACATCACTGAGAGCTTTGAGAGGTGCTCTGGAGGTGACTCCTGGGATCTGCTCCTGGGCATGATGGGGGAAAGGCCTTTGATTTCCAGGGGATGAGGGCTGGATGTTGCCC